GGCGTGCGGCGGCGGCAGCGGCGCTCCTCCGGCTGGACCCCCGCGCCGCGCTCGCCGCCAGCCAGGTCACCTTAATCAAAGTTTAGCTGCCCGTATGTTTCCGCTCGTTATGGGCAAATCCAGCACGTCTCGCTCCTCTCTGCCTCCCGCTAGCGCAAATTAAATTGCAGGTGACATCCAGGGCCACGCATCTGCTTTGGAATACGATTTCCCCTTCTTTATTTATGGCACCTGTGGTAAGCGCGGCGCGGAGGGGCCGGTGAGGCGGCGCGCGGGGCCGAGCCTCCTGCCGCCTCCTAAACGCCCGCGTAGGGAATCGACACGGAGAGCGTTCTCTTAGAACGAGGCACAATTTAGAAGTGCCTCTGATTACTTAATTTGCTCCTGAGTATCTCAGTAATTATCTTTATGGGTCTTATTTCTGTCCTCTGGCATTGTTTCTGTCGATATTAAATGAGTCTGGCTCTCGGCACATTGGCCGTCTGGCCCGGCACCACTGTGAAATCCTATTATCCTGCCCGCGCCGCTGATTAATTTTTGTATTAATTTCACGTAAAAGGTGAGCTGACTAATTTCCCTGCCCATGCTGGGAGCTGACAGCCCCGGCGCCGTCGCCCCCCGGTTCTGCCCCTTGGCTCTCCTGCTAATTACTGTCCCCCGCCACCGTCTCGGTGCCCCAAGCTCTGGCACGGCCGCGTCCCAGCAGGTTCGGTGCATCCCACAAAATCCATCCCGTTAAGTGCCGTAGGTGACTTTGCCACGGTGCTCACCGTTGCCAGCTTACGGCAGCAGCCGGTTTCTCTTGCCCGGTAATCCCAGGGCTCCACCGGCCTGGCACGGCGGCGGTGCATCCCGGAGGAGGATGCAGGAGGCAGCAGGAGGGTGCCCGGAGCGCTGCCAGCCCTGCCTGCGTCTGCCCGCCTCCAACCGAGGAGCAGAAGCCTGCGGAGAGGCAGCGTCCTCAGGAAAATATCACGTCCAATTAACTCCAGCAGCCTGGTCCCTTTTGATTTTATTCCGTGTGCATTACAGGAATCCTGAGCTTTATTTAAATTATAAATCAAATAATACGGCTCTCAGCTTGGCCAAACTCTTTGCTGCTCTTGCTCTCTGCAGTAATGTGGCGGTGGCTTATATTTAATTAAATGTTACTTTCTATGT